ATCCTCACTATATACTCCATTAATGTTATAATACATGTTTTAATTATGCAATCTCTTTATCCACAGTACTAAAGGAACCCTTGAAGTCATTGTTCTATTTAGTGCATGCAGAACAGCTTGTAATTTTCTACCATCTGCCAGCAGCAGCGAGATTGCATTACCTTCTTTCCATATCTTCCACTGGAACCTGCTTTATCTATAAAACACCCTTAGATCTTTCCTATGTATTGCCTATCCAAAGGCTCCAATGATGGAGAGTTTTAGATACCATTAATGAAATGCCTAAGAAGAAACTGAAAATGGACAGTGCCAATCCTTTTCAATATCCCCTTTCCCACTGTGACCAGTACTAGGTAAACTTGGGGGAACCATAGGATCTCTTTGAGTTAGAAATAGTTTGAAATGCCAAAGATTTAATGAGTCCTCAAACATTTTATTTTAATTATGGGAACTCGAATATTTCTAATATCCATCCAAATGTCTGACTTTTTTTTCAACCCCAATGACCTTTCATGGTAATAACATCAACAGTCTAACTACACGTGGTATGAAAACATGTTTTCATTTGATGCATAGCAGGACATGGCCTTCAGCAAGGAACAGTGCTGCTAGAAAACTGCTTTTGTCTAGGTGGTGGAGTACAATTTATACTTATATTTTTTCTGGACATTTCCAAGGCAACAGCTGCTCATCCCGAGATATTTTGATTCTGTGACAGAAGGCTTCAGCAGTCCCATAGAAGTATGAGCTACCTGTGCTCTTGTTCAAGACTACCAACCTACAAGGTCAACCCTCAAAAACATAGCTGAAGAGGAATTTTCCATCAGCATTACACTCTCCTCTTTTTAGCTGAAAGAATCACTTATCACGTGACTGTAGATGTTTCAAAACTTTTAGTGGAAAAATGGTTCTTTCCTCCATGACTCCCCACACATCAGCAACCTTTCTAGTCTGCTGACAGGGAGCTGTGTCCTCTAGGATCCTCTTCTTTCAATAATATATAAGCTTGAAAAGCTCTGGCTTTCAAGCTCCCAGACTCACTGCAGTGGCAGGGGATTTCAGAAACACGTCAAATCTTTCAAAATGAAATGTCACTTGGTCTTTTTCAGACCAAAGCCAAAATAATAATACTGTAGCTTTACTGTTCCTTTTCTCCCCTTTTGGAACAACACACTATCTGACACCTCAGAAACTGGAATTGTGTCTTAGACCAACATTATTTAATACAAAGTCCCTGTGCAGCATCCTGATTTCAAGAAAAGAAATTGAATTGAGAGGGACTATTCAAAGAAGCAAGTATTTGTCAGCATAAGCAGATGTTATACACTCAGCTCCCTATGAAATTGGTTACACATTGTAAGATGCAGATGACTATATGAATTTTTATTACAGATGAGGTGTGCTATGTGTGCAAGTGACTTTTGGCCAATTTTTTAACTGATGAAACAAGGTCAGACACTGAAAGATATTTAGGCAGTAAAGGCTGCAGATAAATTTGTCACAAGACTTTCAAAAGGTATTCAGCATTAAATTAATTTGGATTTACATGCTAGAAGTTTTGAAAAATGTTATTAGGTGCTTTTCCTCACCTTTAGCACCTAAAATTTCTTTTGAAACCTGGCTCTTTAACATCAATCCACTGCATACAACCAGGAATCAGATGTAAAAGATTTCCTTCCCAGAACACTAATCAGCAACTGTGAATATAATTAAGATTATTTATAAAAAGGAAATTTGACTCACACCTTGGTTGCTGTCACCCTTTAAAGTGCTGCAGAGAATTTACTTTATCATAAATGTATATTTTCTAGCAAATCTCTGTCCTATATTAAAAACATAGCAGCTACACTTGAATATAGCGCGGCTATTTATTATTTGTATAGATGCAGCAGATGATGCTCCTTGCTTGGATCATAATTGCTGAGATTCTCAGGTGTAACATCCTTCGCCAAAGGTTTTCTACCAGAACAGCTTAATAGTTAATTTCCACAAATGTTCAGGTAGCGAAACCGCCTTCAGTCAACCTTTTCCATTACAAGTAAAATATGGACTTTTAATGTATCTAGAAGTTTAATAAATTCAGGGACTAAATCTGTGATCATGGGATGTGCTCAGAGTAGATCCCCTTGGCTGCTATGCATTATTTGTAGTAAAAGAAATATTTTGTTTATCTCTGCTGACCTAAACTATCATACCGAACAGATGTGAGGAAAGAGGATGCTTCCCTGGTAACAGTATTTCAAACTTCTTGTTGCTTGGACACTTTAAACTAAAACTTCTATCTGGCAGCTCCTTGACAAGTAATTGAACTCCAGAAGTATTGATGTAGAGATGTTATAAACTCATTTACTTTATTTGACCATTAATTTATCAACTGAGATTGGGTGTTTCTTAGATATGAGACTATTACTCAGATGATTAAGCAACATTACAGTGGAATTTTACAGGAAAACAAAAATTTCACTCTTCAAAGGAATCTGGGTAAGGCTCTGCCATGGTATTCTTTCAGTCTTTCTCGTCTCTTTAACTATCAACACCTCTACGAAAGACAAACCGTTCTGACTGTTAGCCTGGGTTTTGGAAGAGCTTTTCCACACACTTTCTGTGTCACCTCAAGCAACTCAGTCTCTCAAAGTTTCAGATCTCCTAGCTGTTAAGTGGGAATTATAGCAATTTACTTTCTCATAAGAGCATTGTGAAGGTCATCCACTAGACTGCGCAGTGTTCAGACACTCTGGTCACAGCATACGCAAATGCCTATGACACAACAACCATAAGGCAATGTGTATAAATCCTGTCACAAAATGAAGCTTCTGGAAAGTCAGTACTGCTGTGCAAGAAAGGACCACTGTCTGTGCTCCCCTCTCCACAATGGAAAAAGCTGTGTGCATGCTAGAAAGGGCTGTGTGATTATTTGGATTGGTTTTGGTTTTCATTTGGCCCCACGTAATAAGGGGTTCAACCAAACCCAAAAACTTTGCTTTCACTAAGTATATATTGGGAGAAAAGGAGATTGTGGCTTTGTGTCCATCTCATTCTGTAGCCAGCAGATTCATAGGCTTATACAGTAGAAACACGGCCATGAGTTTCAGTCCCTGATCCAATAAATGTTTATGTACAACAGCCTGTAGCAGTGTCAACTCACATTCCTGGCTAAAATATACTCATGAAATCTGATTAATGTGGACTTAAATCCTCTTTAGTAGAAGACACAAATCTCCCAAATCCTAGCAAAATACCTTAAACATCAGCCTGAAGAGTGAATGGTATGTCTTCCTTGATTTCATGAAGACTGTATACATTTTTCCCATTTGAAACTACTTGTTATTGGCTTCAGTTTGGTTTTGGGGGAAAAAAAGAAAAAGGAAGAGAAAATTTCTATCTTTTCCTAAGTTAAGGTGCAGTTCCTATATTCCTTTGAGAGGAAGGACTGCAGATATTATAGCCCCTCTTCAATCCACATAAATGTGCACGCATGTATGTTTGTTTCTTGTGCACTTTCCCATCTGCGCTTTGGCATCACAATTTTTCCCACAAGATTTTAAGATTATTTTTCAATTACAGCCTTAGCAGTAGATTGCAGTAACTGGGGAATAAAGAATTCAAGTCCTCATCCCTACAGCTTGTATGTTTTGACATCTGCATAAGCAAATTAATTTTCAGAAGCATTGATCCTCTACAGCTCTAATTGCCTTCAGCACCTTAAAAAATTATTATCCACAACATATTAAAAACCTGTGGGCAAAAATATTGATTTTGCCTTGCATTAAACTTCCAGACTAGCAGAAAATACAAGTAAGTGTATGGCAGATTGTTTAGGAAGTCTGAAGGCTTTTCAACTGAAGATTTTAGCTGAGGAATAAAATAATGAATATAAACACATTAATTTTAAGACGAATTAGTAACCCTAATAGTTGTAGGGTTTTTGTGTGTGAAGTAATGAGAGTTGCATAAATACTGTCTGCTAGCAGGAAGACACTACAATAATGGGATTTAAAGTTCCATGAGTAATTAAAACAATTGTTATGTATCAATTGAATACATCTCATTAACAAAATAGGAAGGTAAAGGAAAAATTAAGATTTTCCATATGCATAATAGAATCGTGATATTTTCAATTGGCTACTACACTGCGAGTAGTGACTGGCAAATTGAATTTAAACATGAAAATACAGTGTCCTACCAGAGGATAATCATTCATAAAAACCACCATTGCAAATTTTCAACCCGCCTTAACTAAAACAACTGTCAAAACACTTTTAAGACAAATCACTGTGGTATGGCTAATAACTATCGGGTTGCATCCACTTACCTGTGTCTCTGCTTTTGCCTTCTGGTGGTAAAACCAGATGACAGCATTCAAGAATCACTTTAGACCTAACAGACCCTCTCCATTTAATGCCAAGTCTTAGGTTTAGATTTGCCAAAAGTAATCTGATAAGTCTTCCCAGACTTTGGAAAGTGGGGATTACCCATGTAATATCTCCCCCTCTAGTGCCTTCAGGTAATATCTCTTTTTGTTTCAAGTCAAACTAATGAGTATATGTGACAGAGTTAGAGGTCTCCCATTCTTCTTTCATATACAACATGAAGCTTTTGCCTGTCAGTCCCTAATTTCACTGATCAAGTGCATGGTCCTAGAGGAACTAAACACCAACCTTAATTTGTACCCTATTAACTTGCTTTGCCACTTCTCTTAACTGTGTTGCCCTAAAGCATTTGGCACTTACACCACATTATAACTTTTACTCGTTGCCACGCTATCTAAACAGCACTAGCAAAATGGCTGGAAAACAAAGTTGTAAAAACACCGAGTCTGTGAATACTTTATTTCTATCAAGCTAAAAAGTAACTTTGGTTATCCAAGTGATTTTTAATGAAAAACTTCAAATATTAATGAGACGTTAATATAATCCATCTTTTCTGACTTGTTTCCTCTATTTTTTTTCCATGCTTCAGATGTACACCACCAGTTGTATATATAAGTAAACATAACATACCAAAATCCACAAGCTTGACTCCTCCTTCAGTGGTCAAAAGGATATTATTTCCCTTAATATCACGGTGGATAGTTTTGTTTTCATGCAAATGCTGAAGTCCCTGGAATGTGAGATATAAACATGAACTTTTTACTAACAGCTCTATTCTCTGTATTACATTTGCAGAAACAAAAAGGTAGCAGAAAAGTACAAAAAAACTTAAAACACGTTTTCTTTTTTAATCCAAAACCACAGAGTTGTCATTCTTACTGGAAAAACGTTTGGCACACTAGAAGGAATAGATATTTTTTATTGACACTTTGGGAGGTGCAAGCGTTGCCAGTGTTAATTAAAGTATTGTCACATCCTTTCCCAGGACAAGATTTCAGTATGTTGGTGCTGAAATGGGTCAAGGGAGGTGATTCTCCCCCTCTACTCTGCTCTGGTGAGACCCCACCTGGAGCACTGCTATAGCATAAGATAGTGAGCCATGATCTTAATTCATTCAAATAGAAACATATGAGCTGAATATTGACTGTCCTTTCCCTGTGAGCTTATCTTACCATCAGAGCTTCGCGTAAAATGTAAGCAATTATAAGTTCATTCATCCTTTCTCCTCTCTTCAGAAATCCTTTCACAAGATCAGTCACAGATCCACCATTGCACAGCTGCAAAACATCAGGGGAATATAAAAAGGAATTAGGAAGTGTTGGAGTAGCCACCTGGTTTTAGTTTTCAGTAGTTTTCCTATTTGTAGCCAAATGAGTTCCTATTAAACTAGCAAACCACAACTTTGTCCCTATGTCTACCATTTATACAAACAACACACACAGCACTTTTGCCAATTTTTTTCACTACTTTCTGCATTTAACACAAGTACAGCAGTCTATATCTTTGTTTTCCTATAGACAGGATTGCTTTTCACTGAAACAGAAGCAGCACATAGTGCAATAGATTCACTGTAAAGGCCTGTTCTGTGGGGCAGACTAATTGCTTCTTATATTCATCACGTGCAACTCACCAGCAACGCAAATTATTGCAGCATCAATTCTCAGGTACAAAGGCTACGTACAACATGAAATGGATTTAAGGCAGCAGAAGACAAGCAGCAGAGAAATTCCCACAACAAGAAAATTTTCCAAGGTGAAAGTGTCCTCTTTGCCAAGCAGCACTTAATTCCTAGTGTAGAGGGATGGTATACACAAGCAGTGAGCATCATGGAAGATGATGAAAGCCACATGGAAAGAAAGGTCTCATCTCCCACTGAAACAAAGTGGGCCACAGGTGTAAGACTAATTATAGCCCTTGTAGCATCAGCCCAGTCAGCTTTTTCTTTGAGATGCAGAACCACAATCTACTCTGGACAACCCTTTCTCCTGTCTAAACTCCAGTTAGACTCCCACAAACCCCTGTCCTGTCCTGTTTAGACCTGCAATATTTCATATGTTCATTTCTATCACTTACAATTTTTCCACAGGAAGAAGCACCAATGTAACTTTCGTGACTAACTGTAGCAGTTACACACCTGCAAAGATGAAACTGGTACCTCAGCCCCTGAACTATCCATAAAGCACCTAACAATACTCATTGATTGAAGAGCCACTGCCTCGGTAAAGGAGTAGCTGCTTACAATTTATTTCACTGTTTTTTTGGAAGTTTTATACTGTATCATCCATACCATTTCATATGAAAATAAATACCCACATAAGACATTTTACCAATGCAGCACAAAACAGTAATTCCTTTTGACTACAGATTTTGAAGTCTATTCAAATCCAGGGCATAATTTATCAACAAAACATTTCAACGGCAGAACTCCACACATCAGATACTATTGTATATGATATTTTTAATCTGTTCTTCTATACCTCTACATTTTTTCTGTGCTGCAATTACAAAAAGACTTGCACCTTACATTATAAAATGTTTTATAGCCCTTTGTACCCAAACACAACAATAATTTTCTGACTGGCTTTGGAACCCCTGGGTTGCACTGAGCTTGCACCACATGAGCACCTACACAAAAAACATTCCATACACAAGTCTTGTTTCAAGATGCATCCCCCCATCAGGTCAGTGAAGGCTCCGCTCTGATAGGTGCTGAGCTCTATGGCAACAATCTTGGAACTCACTTAATCTCACCCTTACTTCAGTTGGACAACATGCATGCTTAGAGAAGGAAGAACTCATATGCTTAAATGATGAGATTAAGTGCTTTGCTGGATCAGGGTCAGATTCCCAAGCAGGACTTAATTTACTGTCTTTAGCCACGTCGGTCTGCCTTCTCCACTGACTTTTTCTAATTACCTGTATTTTACAATGACATTATCTCTTCAGGGTCTCTAATATTTTAACTTTGCCACATCGCTGACATGTTTAACCAAACCAAATGGATGATGACAATTCAGGGTAATTTAATGCACTTACATTTCAGGGCACTGAAACAGTCTCACAAGTGACAAACCAATTGTGAAATAAATTACACATGTGGTATTTTCAAACTGTTTTTCTTCATTACCTAGTATTGAAATTTTGCTTCTTATAGATGTATCTTATTCTGGTTTTGTTACAATCCTGGATATTTGTTAGTCTTTCTATTTAAGGTAAAGAAAATTAATCCAGAAAGGAACATATTCTTTTTGTAGGTGGGAGAAGGAAGAAACTATACCTCACAAATCACCTTCTTCAATGTTTAGGCAGTGAAGCCAAGATTGAATTTATTTGCCTGTGTCAGCAACATTAATTTTCACTTCATCAGAAATGTTGCTTTAAGAAATTTTTCTACCCCCTCATTAGATAGAAAGCCTCATTACAAGATAAATATCTGCACTGTCAGATAAAAACTTATCTAAAATATCTGGTAAAGTAAGGCACTAAAACTGTGATTATTTTAGACCAAACCAAAACAAGTTTTCTTTTGCTACTTCTGTCTCAAAGAGTTGTACTTTTGCTTACATCTGACAATTTGTGTTTTTCTGAGACCACCAGTATAGGAAGAAGAGAGGGAAAAGGGCTAGGTATTAGAATGCAAGCAGCTATAAGGAGAAAAAAGGATTATTGGAATACAACTACAATTACAAAAGGAGCTTATGGCAGACACGTATGTGTGTGCTCTGAGTTGCGTGGGGCGGGAGGAGGGGAACGATGACGACAACGATGACACAGGTTAGTATTAATCTTGTTCTATTTTTCTACAGGCCAAACAAGTCCTCATAGGTAAAACATTGCATTCGGTCTCACTTCCTATTTCTACTGTCTTATTTGTTGCAGGTGAAGCTGCCACATGTCCCTGTAAACATGCACATAACTAAAGTTCAAATGATGATTCTTTCTTCTGACTCAGACTATCAAATTGCATGTCTGTTCAACACAAGCTTATCATAAACATGTCAAAAGGTCCCTCTTGTAATGAGTCAGACTCTTTTCTTCCCTTTCAAAAGAAGAAGCTACAGAAAACTTGATACTCCGGTCCAATGCAGTGCTGGACCATGCTTGCTTGGGAATCTGAATGGACAGGGAGATCCTTGGGGATGTTAACCAGGATCTAGTCCATGACATAAAATCTTAGAGGGGAAAAGAACCACAAACCATTAAAAAAAATAAATTTCAAAAAATCACATTTTCTCAACTCATACATTCCTTCAATGAAAGATCATGGGATAAACATTACTACAGACTGGAAGTTTCCTGGGGTGTTGCTAAATATTGCAGTTTATAATTATAATCTCTGCTGTTTCTTAGCAGCATGCTGTCCACAGTAAAACTTGTGTAGCCTCTTATCAAAGTTCCTGTGTTTGAGTTAAGCTAACTGTAATACTTGGATGACAAGAAATCATGAAGACAACAGAGATAACTTTTTTTTAAAAGATCTTTCTAGTTTCCAGGGAAGCATCTAGAGAAGAGAGGTGCTGGTAGCTATTACTTTGTTCCAAGCATTGTGAAATCACATGGCCAAACAGTTAATTAGTCTGTGTCGTGACTCCACATCAGTCAGCACAATCTCCTCAGAATACCTTGATGAAGGGCACTATAAGCAGAAAACAAGCAGTGCACGCAGAACTCGGGACACAAGACATACAGCAGAAGCTACGTGTCTATCCGAGCTGTGCCACAGGGCTGCTTCCTACCCTAAGGGTCACAGTAACTCCCCACATGCAATTGTCCTCCAACTTGTTATGAAACATGGGCTCCTCTGGGAGGAGAGAGTAATAATTCTGATTCTCTCCCCAACACGCTCAAAAACACACATATGCACACGTTCTCTGCAGCGTACACAGACACATTTCTTGTGATTCATATCACAAGAAACCAGTAATCCCAGAAGGAAAACTGGGTATGGGAGAAGCGGTGGTGGTGTCTGTCAGCTCAGGTTTGGCAGCACAACAGCAGAAGATGTAAACTGAATGGAGTTTCTCAGTTTGGTTCTCAGATACCACACAATCTAGTATGTGAAATGCATGCAAAAACAAAGCCCTTCAGTCTGAACTGGTTTTAGGAAGTCCCCAAAGGCTGCATTTTCCCAAGGAAGGATAGAAATCCCCTTTTAAGCTTTGAATAAATTTAATTTAAAGAGAGAGGCTCTTATAAATGTCCAGCCTATGATAAACAGTAAGGAAAGATATTAATGATCCTCCCACAAGGACGTTATTTAGAAATGCCATCTTGATAACTTTGTACATGAGCAATTTTCATCAATTTAATGTTAGTCACTTCTATTGTTCCCTTGTGATTTACAGGTATTTTTTTTTTTTTTACCAGCAGTATTTTCAGTGTCTACACTGATAGAATGTAAATGTTACCTCCAAATAAAAGGAGGGGGGTAAATTGAACCCTTTGGGATATCTAAAAGGAGTTTGAGAAGACAGAGACAGACACTTCCTAGAGGCACACAGCAAAGGATGAGAGGCAACAATCCCCAGCTACAAGACAGTAGATTTCTACTGGACATAAAGGAAAAATTTTCCCACTGGGAGCAGTTAAGCACTGGAACAGATTACCCAGCAAGTCTGTGTTATCTCCAACCCTGGTGATATTTAAAACGTGAATGGAAAAGACTCTGTGCAAGCCTGTAACATTGCAGTTAATCATCTTTGAACAGGGGGCTGGACCCCTGGACTTCCAAAGGTCCCTTTCAAGCTATAATTTTCTATTATTCATAATACTTGGATTTTAAAATATTCAGTTCCTAGTTTGCATTTTTAGACAGCAGAAACAGGGGGAAAGGACTAGGGGAATCTTGCATACTCAGACCAAAGGGAAGAATAATTTAATAGAAGGCTTGATCCACGTGAAAACCTGACTGAAAGGGCTGTAGCTCTGATGGCCATACACAGCTGCATCAGAAGACGTGCTTAAGACTCTTCTACAGTGCTAGTGAAGGACTCCTCCCTTATGATTTTCTTGATTTTCTGGCACTCAAAAGGGAAAGGCTTGTATTGGGATAACATACAGTCCTCCACCCGCCCATCTGCCACAACCCTGTGCTACTGTAATTGAGCTATTAGTATGCAAAGCTATCTTCAGAAATAGATTTATAAAATAGCATGATCCTAACACATGAAATGTCAGTTAAAATTGCCATCACATCACAGTCATGCAGGTGTTCTTTGTATGTCTTACTCACTCTTCATCTCACCCAGCTGATACACATCTCTCTCGTCAGCTCAAT